TAAAAAAAAAAAAACATAAAACACAGCATCTAACAGGGTACTATTCTCATGTCTACCTTTTGCCATTCTTTTCTCATTTTTCCCTTTACAAAAAATATTTAATTTTTATTATCATTACTTTTTTGATCTGATATGTGACACATGCACTGAGAGAGAGAAAGTGGGAAAGCAAGCCACCAGGTCTTGGACTTGAACTGCGGTTTGCCATGTAGGAGCCCAACACCTTAACCACCATGCCACCTGCTGGCTCCAGTTATGTGATTCTAATAAAAGAATGAAGAAGTTTTAAACATCTCTTTCTTCATGAATAGCACTGTCAAATGCAGTACGTGTATCTGTTTAGTGTGAAAAGAGTTATGTATTGTCCACTGAATATTCTAGATTCTATGGTGACTTTTAAATGGGAAGAAAAATCTCAAATTTGGAGTGGACACTAGGTATCCTCAGGTTCCCTTAGATCCAGAAGTTGGATAAAGTACCTCCCAAAAGGAAACGTGCTTGCATGAAATCCTCTCACCGTTCTCTTAAAGTAAGGGAAGATATAAACACGTCGTATGTAAATTGACTGCTAGGAGCAACAGTTAGGTCATCGATACTCAGGAATACCCAGGACCGATGAAAAACGTTCGAGGCAAGGTGATACGAGGTGACGGTGGGAGCGAAGTGAGAACCTTCACTCTCTCCCAGAATTGGACGGTGGGTAGAAAACGGGGAGACGGTAGTGTTAAATGGCGGGGTCCTCCCAAGGCGCATGAAGAAAAGCTGTCAAAGGACAGAGACAAGTAAAGGATCCCAAAGACGTCACCTACCTGCCCTATCTAGCTCCGTTATCATTCTGTAATGACTTCTAGCTGAATTCAACAAGTCTGAAATTAAAAATCTATTCTAAGGTTTGGTTATAACTGAAAATCATGCATGATGAAGGAATTACAGTGATGTCCGATTTTCAATTACCTTTCTCCTTTCTGGCGTTTTAAGTTTCCTTTATATTCTTCCCAGGTGCTTTTGTCTGCAAGGTCGCCAGATACAAAATCTTGAAGGTCTGGTCCATTCTGTAAAAACTCCCTTTTTTTATCTGGCAAGGAATGCGATGCTCTGACTGGGCTGTATAAATATCTTCCAAATACCTAAAGAAATAGTTCATTATGCATTCAGTTACTAGTGGGGAATGATTTAGTTTCAACCCATTATAATACTTAAAAGGGAGCGTAAAGCTGAAGAACTGATTCTGAAATTATGCCAAACTATTTAGGAGCTCAGTCTAGAAAACTAGAATGGGGCCAGCAGGTGTTATGCTGTTTAAGGTGCTGGACTTCCACATGGCCAATTATGGTTCGAGTCCTGGACCTGGTGGCTTGCTTTCTCACTTTCTCTCTCTGTCTCCCTCTGGTGAGCACATGTGCCCTGTAGTGAACTAAAAAAATAATAACAATGATAAATAAGAGGAATAAGTAATTCTTTTTTTAAAAAGAATTATTCATTTAATTTTATGTATTCATTTATTTTTTTAATTTGACCAGAGAGAGAAAGAGTAAATGAGAAAGCAAGACACCATGTCTCGGACCTAAACCGTGGTCGGTCATGTGGGAGTGTCCGGCACCTTAACCACCATGCCACCTGCTGATCCCCAATAAGTAATTCTTTAAAAAAGAAAGAGAAGAGAAATTAGAATCTAGGATTGAAGACTAAGGGAGAAGAAACCAAACATAAGGAGAATAGGAATTCGGTGTGTTTGTTTTTGAGAGCTTTTTGCTATAAGGTGCATGTGCTCATCCAAAAGACAGACAGAAAGCAAGAAATCACCCCCCGGGGGGATGGCCACACCACAATCCCTTCTCCATTCTCTTCTCGGATCTTGGGCACGAATGCATACAAACCTGGCGTGAGTTTAAGCCACTGCATCTGGGACTTGACCTACGGTCGACTACGTGGGAGTCCAGCAACATAGCCATTATGCCAACTGCTGGTCCCCTTGTGTGTGTGTGTGTGTGTGTGTGTGTTTTCCCCCTAGAGTGTGTGCCCTGGTGGGAGACAGAGACAAGAACAGAGAGGGAAATTGAAAAAGAAGGGGGGATGGGTAGGGATGGCCACCCACAATTCCTTCTCCTCCATTCATTCTCCTCTCTGACTTGGGGCAGGCACCAGGGCTCCTGGGGGTTCTCAGTTCACAGGGTCTAGGACTCTAACAGACCGTTGGCCACATGGGATCCACCTGCTTTAACCTCAATGACATTTGTCCCACTCCCACATAGACACCCTTTTTAAGTTTAGTTTTTCAGAGAAGGAGACAGAGATGTACCCCAAGGGTGGTCATGCCAGTATCCACTCCCAGTCTGAGCCAGCAGATCCTGGACACCCCTCAAGTGCCCAGTAAGCACAGAAAGAACCTCCTAGCTGCCTCACTGCCCTGTCAGAGCCTGGCCCCACTAACTAGTGACTGATAGATTTAGAAAAGATCTGGAAACCTCTGCAACTAACACATCTCACTTTCATATACCCCACTTAACAAGCACTAAAAATCTGTCTCTCAACAATTTAAACTGCAGGAATGGGAGATGTCATGGTTTTGAATTTTCTCTTCCTGACGTGTCTTAGAGACGTTAAAAAAGGACATTTATAATAAATGTCTCTATTAATAAGCATAAAAGCGTTAGAAGAGAGGTAATGCCCAGGTAATTTTGAAGAACTGGAAGTCGCAAACCCAAACCTAATAGTCTTACTTTCTACATTGTGTTTTGATGTGACAGTCAATATGTACATGCTGAGCATAATAAACCCTGGTGTTTGGCTTCTAGAGCTGAATGGAAAACGTGCACGGTAGCCACATCACGATGAAACTCAGGAGCCAGCGTTTGGAATGCAGAGGCGCCTTGGACAGCTCAGAACCACCGCCCCTGCATCTGGTCACCCCCACAGCCAGGGCCCGAGGCCACGTCTGGATCCTCGGCCACAGGGGAGCCCCACACTGCACAGAGCAGGTATTCACTAAGCTCACTGCAGAGCTCATGCAAACCCAGGGCGCAATCTACTCTAAGCAGAAAACCAAAAACGAAAACAAAATACAACCCTCCCCGCCGGTTCAGAGATCATCAAAACCACCAATGCCCCAGACTTCAAAAAAATTAAATGAGTTACTACATGAAAAAGGGAATTTTGGGGGGAAAGAGGGCAGCAGGTGGCGTGGTGGCTAAGGGCGCTCGACTCCCATATAGTCGATCGCGGTTCGAGTCCCGGAACTGGCGTCTTGATGTATCACTTTCTCTGCCCCTCTCTGGTCAAATTAAAATAAATAAAGTTAAATAAAATAATATTTTAAAAAGAAAAAAGGATTGGAACAGTGCTGGACCCGTAGTAAGCGCTCGATAAGCACGATCTTTATTATTGAACGCGCTATTGAACCCCCACCACGCGCCCGATCTCCGCCCGCCCCGCCGCTCACCCGGGGCCCTAGGGTGCGGGCGGCGCCCCCGCAGCGTAGAGACATCCCCTGTTTAGATCTAGAACGGCCGAGGGGTGGAGGGCGCGCCAACACTCGGGAGAGGAAGGATCGGGAAACCGTGGCTGGGTTTATGACAAAGCAACGCAGCCCGCACTGAGCCGGCGAGCCTCGAGCCGCTCCGCCATCGACTGCTTTTGTCTGAGCGCCGTCTCGTACTAGTGACGCAATACGTACGTCGCTTAGGGGCTACAAGAGCGTGATGACGAAAGACGCTCTCTCTTTGCTGCGCCTACTGCGAGGTAAGGTGGGCCCGTCATGGGGCTCTACTCCAGGCATCGGAGGCCATCGTCTCCGGGAACGTCGGCAGGTCGGGTCCGATGCTAGGAACCTTCATGCCGGTTGTGTCCCCGCACGGCGAGCTCCGTATGGACCTGCCGCGCCGGCTCGAGAGCCCGATTTCGGCATTTTGGGCCTCCTCCCTTCAGCGTAACCGGGATGGCGCCGCCCTGTGGGACTCCGGCTGAGCCCGATAGCCGCCGCAGTGGGGCAGGCCCTTCCCGGCCGGGACGCGCGCCTCCCTGGGAGCCCTGCCTGGCGGGCCGGGGTGGGCGCGGGTCGAGCGCGGCGGGTGGAAAGCGGAAAGCGGCCGCTCACTGCGTGCTTGCGTTGCAGGATGAAGACCATTCTCAGCAACCAGACGGTCGACATTCCCCAGAATGGTAAGACTCGGTGCGCGCGCTCCCTCGGCGCCCCCGTGCCGCTCCCCGCGGCCTCACATTTCCCTCCTTCCTTCCAGTCGACATCACCCTGAAGGGACGCACCGTCATCGTGAAGGGCCCCCGAGGAACCCTGCGGAGGGACTTCAACCACATCAATGTCGAGCTCAGCCTCCTTGGGAAGAAGAAGAAGAGGGTGAGGACTTGGTATTGGGGGGCTGGGAGAGGGGCGCTTGAATTGCTTGGACAGTAGCGACCAGATTGGGTTGCTTTGGAAACTTGTGAATCGAGGCTCAGTAAACCGGTGAGATTTGTTACCAAATTTGCAGTACTTCCCGTGTTGGGGTTGACATTCCTTTGTGGAATTGTGTGTGGGGGCACACCGGAGTAAAGTTCTTTAGCTGTTGGAGTCCGTACAGGATGATTTTTGACTCCATTGGAGTACGAAGGAGTTGGGAAGAAGTGAGAGCTTAGTGCAGCTTAATGGCGTTGCAAAGCTACTCTGTGATGTTGGCCGCCGAAAGTAACACTTACTGAGTCCTTACTAAAAAGTGAAATTTGAGACACACTAAATGTACACAGTAGCAATAAGACTTGGTACTAAGCTTTGTACCACTAAATTACACTGTTTTTGCAGCTGAGAATCATGTGGTTTAATTAGGTTTTAGTATCTAGAGTGATTTAGTGAATGGAGAGACTTCATTTTCCTGCCTACTTATTTCGAGAAAGAATCTGCTCAAGTTTTTGTTCCTTTGCAGCTGCGGGTTGACAAATGGTGGGGAAACAGAAAGGAGCTGGCGACCGTTCGCACCATCTGTAGTCACGTCCAGAACATGATCAAGGGTGTTACGTTGGTAAGCAGACTGGTACCTTTTTTTTGAAAGTGGTTTCTTCGCTGTACTTTTTATTTAACATTACATAAGTGTGGGTAAAGACCACATGGGTATGATGGTGGAAGAGTGGGCTTGTTGGTGTGTTATCCACACAAAGTCAGAGTCACGCATTAAGAATTTTATGTAATAGAAAGTTAGCTGTAGCGCTGACACTTGGGGTAGTCTTTGATTGCTTGTTGGTATGCCTCCTGTCACCAGGATGCTTTGTAGCAATAGGAATACCTAAGTCTTGAGCTCCCTGCCCATTTTCCTAAATGCATACGTGTTGTGTTTTTCCTGTCTATTGCTTCCAGACTGTTCCATGTAGGCAGGGAAAGGTGGGGGGCTGTCGTCTTTTGTTTTGTTTTTTTTTTTTGCAGAGATTTTTGCTATAGGGCGCGTGCGCTCGCCAGACAGAGAGAGACATAGAGACAGAAAGCAAGAAATCCCCCCCCCCCCAGGGGGGATGGTCACGCCGCAATCCCTTCTCCATTCTCCTCTCGGGATCTTGGGCACACACGCACACGCGCCCGGCGTGAGTTTTAAGCCATCGGGTCCAGGACGCGAACCATCATCAACTACGTGGACCATCATCAACTACGTGGGAGTCCAGCGACATAGCCATTATGCTAACTGCTGGTTCCCTGGGGGCTGTCTTCTTGACTCACTACTTAACATCTGACATACCTCAGTAAATGTTAGTGTAGTGATCCGTATGTGAGACTTTTTCTGATTTCTGATTTTTTTTTTTTTTTTTTTAAAGCTAGCACTTTATATTCTGGTGTCAGGTGGTAGATGCTTCCTTATGCTTTACATTGAAGTCCTGTTGGGGACACGGAAAAGCGTAGGCCTTGGTACGTGTAGCAATTAAGAAAGCTTGAGTGCTCTGTGAAGATCTTCATTTTAAAATGAAGTGTGTAATGTAAGCTGTTTGTAAAATTATAAAAATGTATTTTTCTTGAAATGTCACAGCACTGCTAATAGCTTGAATGTTAACATAGGGCTTCCGCTACAAGATGAGGTCTGTGTACGCTCATTTCCCCATCAACGTCGTTATTCAGGAGAATGGGTCTCTTGTTGAAATCCGAAATTTCTTGGGCGAAAAATACATCCGGAGAGTTCGAATGAGACCAGGTATGTGCATAGTTTTAGAACTGATTCAGACGTTTTTCCTTTCTCCTCCTCTATTAAATTAGGGACATGTTGTGATTAAATGAGTTAAAATCGAAACCATTGTAACTGTGCTTGCCTTATATTTAGTAAGCACTGAGTCTTTACAGAATTTTACTGTTAATTCTCTCTCGATGATTTTTTACTCCATTGGAGTGTGAAGGAGTTGGGAAGATTATTATTATAGCTTAATGGCTTTCCAAAAATATTCTGTGATATTGGCTGCAGAGAGTAACATTTACTGAGTCTTTACGTAAAAAGTGAACTTTGAGACACACTAAATATATACAATAGAAATAAGACTTGGGGCAAAGCTTTTGTATAACTAAATTACACTATTTGATTTTCTGTGGGGGGTGTGTGTACTCTCTAGAAAAGGGGAGAGGATAAAAGCTCCTCCCCAAGGGGATGTGGTCAGGTCACAGTCACTTCTCAATTTCTCTGTCCTGTTGAGTTTAGGGGCACAGATACATACATGTTCTGTTGCACTGTTCACATACCTTAACTGAATTACTGGGTCTATAATAACAGCGGTGGGACCATGATTTGTTCATGTAGAACACTCAGATTTTGGCCTAGCTGAGTCAGATTCACGAATTCGAGAATTGAGGGTTAATTCGGTGCATGGGATTTTAAATGGAATGAACTTAACTGCTCTTAGAGTTAAAATATTTTGTGCAGATTTGACAAAGATTGGTATTGCACAAATTCTCTCTCCCCTTTTAGGTGTTGCTTGTTCAGTATCTCAAGCCCAGAAAGATGAGTTGATCCTTGAAGGCAATGATATTGAACTTGTTTCAAATTCAGGTTTGTGTGAATTTTTACTCAATAATTATGTTTGCAGAGTTTCATCTAAATCTTCTATTTTAGTGTCTGGTGATCTTTTAATTTATTATGGAAATTAAAAAGTTATTCCAAAGATACTCTTTTGCTATAGGGCGTGTACGCTCACCAGAAAGACACAGACAGAAAGCGAAGATACTCTTGACATTTTAGTTAATATGTAATAAAATGTTCTTTTTAAGATAAACTTAGCTGCTGATGTAATTACCTTTTTCACTCCCATAGCTGCTTTGATACAGCAAGCCACCACAGTTAAAAATAAGGATATAAGAAAATTCTTGGATGGG